ATAACCTCTTTAATGGATCAGTTTGGTTTTCATCATTTTATGAAAGACATAAAGAACTTGTCTCTTAGAGTCCACTTGTACATGAAAGTCTACAGTTTACTAAGAAAAACAACACACCTAAAAAGCAAGTGTAAAAAGCATCACAAAGATATGTGGACACTAAAACAATAACATATTACTGCTGTGATACTCAGAGGGAGCACATGTTCACCCTAAGACAATAAACCAACAGCCAAATAGCCAACCGGAAAAAAAGTGAATAAAAAAAATCATCGCCCGCCTGAATCCACTAGGGGACCCATTCAGCCATGCAGACTGGCTCACAAATAAGGGGAAGCACAGTCACTGTCTAAACCACTGTACCCGTTCGACTGCGAGGTCCAGCCCATGTCCGTCAGTCCCAAACCCGCACACATAGCCAACGAAAAGCTACAAAGAGGTAAGCAACTATAGACATCTGACATGACCAGGCATAAATATTCTTGGCGAAATTGACCCCGCGGGTCGTCAACAATCTGAACCAAATTCGTCAGCACCAAATAGGTTCAAAGTGAAGAGCTCTGAGACCAAGGCACATAAATAAATTAGTAATCGGATTGGACCAAAAACTAGTCGAAAGAAACTGTATGAAAACACCCAACAAATAAGTAATTAGGTTTCTTTAAGCAATTGAATACAAAATAATTAGGAGAAGAAAAAAAAAGTAAAATGGCAGAAGAAACCGACACAACATAAAGGCAATATCTTGTTTCTAAATATGGAAAAGTAAATGCGATCGAATAAGGATAACGTCAGATGACTTGTTCAATAGTCTAGTGTGCCTTAAAGCTTTGTACAGTATTTGAGGATCATCACAGCACAAAGGTATCTTTGCATGTCTCAAAGTCTATTCGTTGCCATTTACAAAGCCTTGGTCTCATCATTATGTTTTAGGCGTGCGTAGCGACCATCAAATCCACACAATGCAAGTGTAAATACGCTAAACAGAAACTCCATATATTCCATCACGCTCAATCTCTGTTGTTATCGCACGATTGCTTCATTCGCGTACCTTGAATGCAAGTGTATATTAATCAACTAAAATTGGGGCATTAAAACGAAATTTTACCCAATTACTTGTCAGATTCGGCGGAGAAGCGGGAGGCACCATTATTACACCGAACATTATACGATTGGGTGCGAGTAACAAGATTTTACCCATAGCGGCAAATAAACCGAGTCGGATTATGGTTCAAAATGTATCTAAACATTCCAAGTCGTACAAAGGAGACGGAATAAGGTGCGGAACCATGATTGTACAAAAACAACTATCCAATAATTTTTTTTAATGTACTTCTTCTTATCTAATTGATAATGTTATATAAAGGCAAGGGAATAGTATGTACAAATCCATATTTCTATATTTTTCTTCTTATTTTGTTCAAATTGTTGAAAACCCTTATCGATGTGTCCTCTTATTTTTTTAATATCAACCCCTATATTTTATTTGGTTAAATTGTGTGAAAACCCCTGATGTGTCCCCTGTTGTCCAAACAATGACATGTGGCATCCCACAT